GATATATCGAAGTTCTGTGAAGAAAAATATTGGAAAAATGATAAAAATAAAATATTTCATAAATGTTTGTTTTGTTCACTGCTGAGCTTTGCTTGATTTAAAAGGCTTGGCAGGTACCAGTTCAAGACGTGATCCCGAATTTTACGTGAAAATGACATAAGGGGCGATAGCGGGTTACAACAGCCACAATTCGTGCAAGTACGCGGCGATACTTATGCCAAGCTGCCTCGAAACGACACGATGGACGACACAAAAAGAAGTATACGGTAAAAGCCAAGATTTACGGCAACATATTAATAGTAAAGTGAACAACGTCGCTGAAGAATTCAAACTTGTTGACTTACCTGTACACATATTGAAGGCGATGCTTTCCTCATAGTCTTGTAATGGGTTCACCTTATTTCCGCAAATACTAGCAATCTCACCATTGCCTTTCAGTGTGTCTGAATTGTTTCACTGAAAAGAGAAAACTTTCTATCATGCCAGATACCAATATTCAGTCTTTTAACATAACTGCAAATTCATGACAAATTCAAGGCGTAATATTCATTTTTCCATAGAATCACTTTAAAATGCATGCATTTTAAACGTAGGTTACAAATTGAAAGATCTTTTGAAACAATGTAAATATAACAATAAATAGAAATAGAACGTCAGCACGTTGTCGAATTAAAAACAAACAATCACATTGAAGACAACTGGTCAACAAAATCATAACACAAACAGCCGAAAGAAATTTTTGACTTTGCCTTCCGTCGTGCCTAGCCTAACAAACGTTGACAATTGCCATGCTTCAAAAACAACACAAAAACTATTAATAACAACTAAAGCTCTAGGTCACTAAGCGTTCAACTCGGATCTGAAGCTGCTTCAAGCTACTGCACGCCTCTTCTCCAAAAACACATGTATACCATCTTGTGGACGTAGAATGATTTCAATTTTGGATTTGAGCTAAAATGAAAAGTACTTGTTAAACGACATTGGTAGTTATATTGAAAATTTCCTTTAATAGTTTTAATACAAAAGCACAATGCCACATGAACCCACATCACATCTTCTCTGTACAGCTGTCACATTGAAGTGACGCAACATCCACGAAACCACAACTTTTATTTCCATCAAGCCAAATCTAAAGAGGAAGTAATTAGATGACCTCAAACTGGAAGGGATATCAAACTTGTCGTATAGTCTGCCTAGAGCACGAATCCATTATCACTGTCAGAACCGAATTAACACCAGACGGAGTACATTCGGGATCTTTTCCCTTTTCTTTCGCTTATGCTTCGAAAAACCACAAAGGGCACAAACATGTGGTTGCTGAGATTGCTCAAAAGATATGCCACCTGTAATGATAGTTGGCTGTTGAAGCGCAACGCGTGCCAACCGCACGACGCTAACTTCTGGTACTCGAACAAGATCACTAAACCGAACCTATGGAGTATCCCGCAAGCTATGTCTCAGCGTGTTCAATCGCAGTCAACCTTGGCTGTCGATAACTGGCAGAAGCAGAGCGACTGATCTTTTTCAAAGTAAATAATATTTTGAACGAATCAAATCAGAAACAAAACAAGCCTTTGTCCAATACAGTTGCGACTACCAGCCGAGAATGGTATGAATGCAAATGGATGACGACCGACACAGTTCTCAGGAAGAAATCTGTAAGTCAATTTGATCACAAGGACAGAAAGGTTATGTGAGCAAAGCCACAGAAACTAAAACTTCACCTATCTGGATCGAACTTCTCCGGATCAGGCCAGTACATTGGATCTCGGTGAACCATGTACTGATTGAGAACCACTTGAGTGCCTTTCGGCAAAGTGACACCTTCCAGCTCCTGATCAGCACCCAATTTACGCATTATCATCGGAACTGGTGTACACAATCGAAGTGATTCCTGCATATTGAGCATTACTGGATGGATTACTTCTTCATTAAAATGGGAGTGAGGAGTCTCGTAAACCGAACCAACCTTCAAACAGCATTCCAAATACTTGAGCCGTGGAAGGTGTTCGGGCAAAATGTAGTCGCTGTCCTCCAACACTTCATCTATCTCTTCCTGAAATGCTGCAATGGCGTCCAACTGTGCAACTCGATTGACACCGCAATCAACCATACCAGCAGTTCCGCTCGTTTCATGTTTGCCACACGAAACGACTCAGTTTACCTTTACTGTCTTTGCCTGTGCTTTTTGCTTTGAGCGCGGAAGTATCACCTTTGTGCGCGCTACTCATGATGGTCGTAGTACTTTGTCCAGAACTATATCAATGTATGCGTTCACATGACATGTGTCAATAGGTCCGTGTGCAGCGTCAGATTTGAGTGTCATTAAATCGGAACTGACGACTCATAAGAGCGTACCTTGCGACGAAAAACATCACTTTCCCTCGCATTGCAAATGTATACCAAGACACAATAATAAATCACAATAAAAAGCTCATTCGTCATAGTTCTTGCATGAAGGTGAACGCTCAGAAATTTGTGGTTGCATCATGATTAAGGAGCACACACTCACCTATATCACTACCTATAAAAGCGATATCTCTTACAGGAAAGCTGGCTTGTACTTTGTGCAAAAAAGTGAAAGGTTTCATAACTAACTTGTCTATCAAACTGACAGCGTCTACAAAAAACTAAGCTTCATAGTGTAATCAGACCTGTATATAACGGTTTTAAATAAAAAAATTGACTACTCAGCAGTCGGAAAAAGACTGGGCAAAAGGACTCAGAGCAGAGAAAAGAACACACTAAAGAGCAAAATCCGCTCAAGATCAATATAGTTCATACCTGGACCTTTCTCTGTATTTCAGGATAACACCCAAAAAGGAATAGAGCCCAGCTGGATCCCGTTGACGTTGTGTCATGACCAGCAAACATAAGCGTATCCACCTGAAAATGAGAAAATTAAGTCATAGATAAAAGAACTATATGCTACAGACATGGAAGTGGAAGTCCATTTATGGAAGCTCAAAAAAAAAAAAAGTTGGACTCACAATCAGTGACTACTTTGCACAATAGTGTACGGATGCAGAGAAACTCAAAACTAACTAGATAATTTGAAGCAAGTTAGATACCTGTGAAAGGACCTGGAGATATGAACCCCATGCTGAGAAGAGCTCGCGCGCAGAAGCACCTTCCACTAAGCCGGATACGCTGCAGAATCGTGGGGGACAGGCCATGTCCAGGCTAATGAATTTAGCTTACACCGCTTCTACAGTTGCACAAAGGCGCTGCATCGAAGTTCATCAACAATCATGAAAAAAGTGTCAAAAAAACGTGACTAAGCGAATCCGCCAGGCCTTGGAATAGTCATAAGCAGGATTGCCTGATGCGATGCAACATCTGAGCTACCGGTCATGAGTGACCGTAATTTTCAATAGGAAAAAGTGAGCAGTTCAGTGTTTCAAAGTCAAAATCTCTTCGCCACTCAACCAGCTAAACGAACAAGCAAGTTAAAAAATCTTCACTTTTACGCCCTCAAGTAGACTTCGAAGCAATACAAAAGTGGGCTGCACTTCAACAGTACTTGGGAAGTTCTTCAAATCTTTCACATCAGGCTTTACCTGCTCCTGAATCTCGCTAGCTTCTAGCTGCCCACTATTAGCCATATCAAGAAGAAGATCAAGGAATGCGCGACGTCCCTCAAATCGCCACTGCCGGTCCTCCAACTCTTTTTGACGTTCTGCTATCACCTGAACTATAAGGACAATAGAACTCAGAGGTATAGCGAGTTTTGAAATGCCACTCTCATCTAGAACAAAAACTGAAACTTAACTTGCTGGTGAACGAATGCAGAATATCGATGCACTTCCTTTCTGTTTCTCCTTCACCGAATCTTAATGACGAGTAATACATTCTGAAGTGGTCCATGACCATATAGAAAACTCTAATTGATTGTACCCCATTCGCATTGATTAGGATTGGCCTAGCGCTTGGCAGATCGTATTCAAAATGACAGCTCCGCAGATCGTGCGAGTGTTAATTTGTATGTAATGTTTTCGCCCCGCTCATTAGGAGACACTCCTACCTGCACTTACAGCTTCATGAGTCGAGCTTCAGTGCGCAGGCTTGAACCGCAAACAAGCTTTTACAGTTGAACATAGCTACCAGCACTACACGATAGAAATTTTCGCCCTCGTGTTGTTTTTTTGATAGAATCCCTGTTGATGGCCTGATGTTTGAAACGGGCCATCTTCCTTAAGTACAAGAATCCAGAACTGCTTACTACGGATAAAGGCCTGGGCCATTCATTGAAAACCCAATAGTATCCTTAGGACCCCCTATCCATAATAAGTAACTTGCTGATCTCAAGCTTGGCCGATCAATTAAAGCGTTCGTCAAATGAATTCACTGGCAGTAAGAGGTGTATTCAAATCTGAAGTGATGAACGGTAAAGCTGTAAGGGTCGCACAAAAATCGAGCAAGATCTTGATTGATGTGTACTTTGCAGCTACAGTGAGCTGTAACGAGAAATGTGAGAACCTATCTGGTGATAAAACTTACTTGTTGTAGATATAATCATTCCAGAATAACGGACTTTTAGTCCTCTTCTGCACCAAATCGTTGACGGTATGCACAGCTTTAACGTAATCGCTATCCTGTACGATTATAATATTAGAAGTACAAAGAAAATGGGGCTATAAATAAACGTTGCTGAGCACTCTGAACCTTATCCAATTGAGCATTTAAGCTTTTCCCCATAGATGTCTCACAAATAATATCGAGAGCGCATAGAGTGATGTAGGACATCAGTTCCACAGGCTCTCTGTAATTCCCTTTTCCAGAATAAAGTTAAAAACAGCAAGTTTTGTATTTGTGTGAACTATCGAACTTACCCTTCTGGGAGACTCGCAAACTTCTTCACTAAAATTTGGGCTTGATCATTGAAAATCGGAACAAAATCCTTCAGAATATCGTAATGAAAAGTCGGCGTAAGCAGTTTACGCTTTGGACGCCAATTATCAACATTACTGCAAAATTTACTAGAGAATCAGAGAATATATAAGAACCGCTGAGTGTTATAATAACAGATTATTTCAAAGCGAGCAGGGCTAACTAGAACGTGTGATCTAAAGCATGAAAAGGATGTAAACAACCCAAAGAAAACCGTCAAAAAACGACTATCTCACAGAAGACACGCCCACATCAAAATATTTTGTTAGTTCGCCCTTACACGTGACAGCCATCTTTATCTTCACCTGGACGAGTCATATTCAATTACCTCGTAATTATTCCCTGCCCTAGCCATGATTCAAAAAAGTAGTAGGCGATGCCTTTGTTCAGGTGTTGGCTACAATTAAGAATTTTCTCAACGAGCCGTGCAGAGTACAACATCACCACTGGCACAGGTCCTAGCCAGAACAGAACCATTCGTGGTGAATCAGGATACATTTGAGTCATGCCCATAACCTTAATGAAAAAGGATAAAACTCTTCTTGAAATGAACCTTAAGAAAAACGCACTGCACCTGATTGATAAATCCTTCCATGTCCGGCTTTTTGAGCAACCCATGCCCGATTAAAGGATATGAACGTGGACAGTTTATTCCCTTAAAAGCTACTGCATTTGTTCGCTAATTCAACACAAAAATGCACTATTTACTTATGGGAGAGCATAAGTGGCCATGATACTGACGTTGGCGGGCGCAGTCTACCTCTTTCATCAACCTTTGCGAGCGCGACAGTCTTTGCGTGAAGCATGTCCGAGTTCCATACTTTACCCAACGGTACATCGAGAAACGAAAACTGTAGAAGAGGACTCGGTAAAAATGTAGGTGGGGGGTGCCAGCGCTTTTTTGTGCTCTGCGTCTCTGACACCAGGCGGCACAGTGCATAAAGACCGTGCTAGGGCGGAGATGGTTCTCTCATCTTCTAAAGTTAGGGGAGAAGCTCCGGGGCGGGAGGATGATTATCTCGAGCAAAAAGCGCGATGGGGTAAGAATTGAAGATCCAATCGGTTCACCCAACCCGGAGCTTTTAGAAGGAGAGGAGATCCGGGATGGGTGAGATGATTAGATGGGCAAGAAATAAAGAGCAGCAGAGCACAAAAGGGTCTGGCACTCCCCAACTACATTTTCACCGGAGTCTCAAAACCTTGCTGTGGGTTCTGGTTTGAAATCCTTTGGCGATACACTGGGGCATCTGGGGTGTGGTGCAGTAGGAACGAAATTGTCGCATCGCGCGAGAGAGACGCCGCGCGCGAAGGAATGTATCAGAATGCAGCAGCAAGTAAGTAATTTAAGAACAAAAGAACTAACACTAGTATCATGCCATAAAAGATTATCGCACGATTGAGCTGTATGAAGAACGCTTGAACTGTTATAACGAGGCAAATTTTGCACGACAGTCGCGTGCGGCGGATCGACTACACAAAACCGTTCCTACTGCCCGTCTCCCGGGCATTCGTAGTACCTGCGCTAGCCTGTCTGCACAAAATCGCTGATACTATGAATGCGCCCAATCGTGAACAAGTTTATGATGTGTGTATCTGGACAAGATCCTACCACATGGGTGGAACGATGGTGAAATGTTGTCCAGAAAGTTCTCTCTCCTTTGCATTTTATTCCACTATTATGATGTTCCAGGATCCCATACTCAATTTTCGTTCCCGCAATGTACACAATGTCGGTACCAACCCATGTTTCAGCTCGAATCGAGTTTTTCCCACAGATCGATCAATAACTTAGCGTTTATTCGCAACGTTAGGGTTGCTTCCTTTGCTCAGAACCCGCGCTGCAGCTGGAACACAAGGGGAGAATTTTATATGGAGCGAACTTCTCTCCTTTTTCTAGATTATTCAAAAAATCGAACCACAACACGGGACGGTGCGTCCTTTCATCACACTTTTACCGTAAACCCGTCCCCTGACAATGTTGAAGCCCTGAGGGCAGTTGTTTTCCGTGGCACCCACCCGCGCACGACAGCAACCACCAGTTCGTGACAGCATGTACCACCTTCTTGCCTATTCTGGGGCTGCCACAATTTTACACCTACCTTAGTTCTCTGAGAGCATTTCTGGGTAAATTCGCTTGCAGGAAAACCATACCTTCAACTGGTTCCTCAGTTGCAAATGTTTCGCAATGAAGTAAACTATAGACGTGACTACAGTTACAAAAATGAACGCAGAGAGTAATCCCATAACCGAAAATGTGCACGAGTAATCGAAGGCACAAAAGAACTGAAAAGAAGGTATGTCAAAAGAAAATAATAAACAAATGTCAAGCGCACAAATATGACTTGAGAAGATTGAAAAAACCATAAATCAAAACGATTACGAAAAAACAAAAATAAATGGAGCTTATGGAGAAAGGAAGGAAGGCATCAGCACGTGGCAGTCAAAGTCATCAGAAAAAATTGGCGCGGAAACGGAAAACAAACAAATTGTAGGTCAATTACATTAAAAGTCATCCCAGTGTTAGTTTTGTCCGGTTCTTCTGCNGTACCTGACTCAGATCATAACTTGCTAAAGTGCAAGGAACGAGCGTTCTTTGGACACGAGTGAACTTCCGATTACCGTACTCTTCATGAAGATGCGTCATCTTGTGAAAACTGGCGCAAATGTGCTGACGCATTCTTTTCTTATACGGTCAATACAATTGTTTCACCGTCTTTTCTCTAATAATTTCTTTTATTCTGCATAAATCACTGCAATAAGCCTTTTTTGTTCTCTCCTTACAGGAAACCCTGTTATATGCCAGCTTTTAAGGACTTTTTTGTATTTGACCCTTCATACGATGGCTTTTAATTTTACTATCCATTGATTCCAAAACTATATTCTCAATATTTTTGAACCATAATGAAAACATTTCGGGTCCTCTGATACTCACGGAACCATGCCATTTATATAAGGCGGTAACCAAGTGTATAGAAGTCTTGATCCGTTCACAATGCGCGGCGATTGTTTGCTGTCTTGCCACGACAACTAGCAAGTAATCGCCGCGCGGCATGTTGTTCGAGATTTCACCATTGAAATACTCATTGTTTTGACTTGATGTTTTGTTAACTGCTGTTTTACCGCCGCAGTGCGCGAAGCGAAAGTCTCACAAGGTTGGCGACCTTGTGAGACTTTCGCTGAAGGAGAAGAATGAGAAGGACAAGTACGGGTTCGAGTCCCGTCCGAGACTGGAGTTTTGCCCACAAATCGCCAACCTTGTGAGAAATACTCATTCTCTCTACAGGCAGAATCTATCTTTGCGCATTGACTTCGGTTACGATGCAACGGCAACTGGCACAAATACAACTGATTGTGAGTTACTAGTTTGCTAAACCGATGAATCTCAAGGATTCTCAGTGACCTACCACAGTAAGTACTAGATGAGTATCTTTACTATGGTAGGTGATTCCTTTCTGTCTAATGCAATATCGAGGGGTAGACAGGTAGATTTACATGAACGGATACCGTTAGAATACCGTGCAGCTAGAAGGCAATTTTCTCTAAACTATATTTGGCCCTTACAGGATTCAAACCAAAAAGTAGTACTCTCGAAGGTACGCTTGTAAATCCATAATGAGCAGTGAAAATCAACAGCAAATAACAGTCTTTTATTCAAATATATATTTTTATTACATGAACCCGACTTTTTCCATACTGATCTTAAATACAACATCTAGACACGATTCAAAAACTCGATCGATATTCCTCGTATCGGTCGCATTCGTAAAATGCACGTATAGTGGCTTTTCGTATTGGATTTCTGAAAGAAAAGGTCTTTATTGAAGAGCAAGTAGCATCGGAAATAGGCTCACATACCGGAACTGACTAGCCGTTGAAATCGGTCTTTTACGTACTGGGCAGATTCTTCAAAGACCTGAGCTCCTGAAGACAGAAGAAATCAACCTTTCGAGGAAAACAAAGAGGGATTGTTTATTTCCGATCAACCAGACCAATATGCGGAGCGCTAGTGCGTGCGGTAGCTACGAGGTTTGGCTTCGCTCTCGAAAGTCATAACCGCTACGCAACCGCACGCTCTGGTGTTCTGTGAATTGGACTGGCCTTCAGTTCCTCTTAGCAGTCTTTCCCTTTTACACCTCATTGCAACACAAATCCCAAGGCCAGGATTTTTCCCCTTCACGACCGCAAGTAAATACTAGCAATATTCGACTCCCACAACTGACAACAACGACTGTTTTATTTACTACTTACCTTTATAATCCTTGAAACATGTTTTTATCGACGTCGTCAGCAGTTTCCGTTTAAAAATGTCGATTTTATTTAGAAATAGTATCATCGCAGTTTTCTTTCCAAAACACCGATTATTGGCAACACGTTTGAATAAATGCATACTGTATTTCAAGCGGTTCTGTAACGGATATGGCATCATAAATTTCGGCTATTCAATCGAAACCTAACTGTATACTTTAATTAGTAAAGTTAAATGAAATAAATTGTATATCTGAAGAAAATAAGCGCAGCCACCGAATTTTTTCCTGATCAGGAGGACGCTTTGCATGTTTTTTAATTAATATAATAAGTTCTGGTTCACTTCAAATTAAGGACGACCTTTTTATGCGAAGGTGATATTGGATAGTTATTTTTCTGAGAACGAAACAGTGAAGAAACCCTCAAGTGTTGTAGTGGCAAGAGGCGCACTATCTCGCATGTTGGGTCACAGGTTCGAATCCTAGATCGATATCCCTGAACCAACCAAGCCTTCCATCCCTTCAGTGTCGCTTAACTGGTACCAGACCTGTCTGGTAGGATAAAAGCACTGATTTATAGATCGGCTGGTCACCACAAGTCATTGTATAGGCCACACACGCAACCATCATACCACTATGATCCTGACAATGAATCGACTACGAGGCGCATCCCTCAGACGGGATTGATTGACGCCCGAAGACTTTAGCCTTCATCCTTTATACTTCACTAAGTGTATGAATGGATGAAAATTCTTGCGTAATCCACTCTTCATATTTCAGCTAGTCGTATTATATTGTGGAATATGGGTTCTAGTAGCATGAAAAAATAATGGGATTACGGTAAGAATGTTGATCCTTTCTAAATAATCGTTAATATACTGCCTTAAGAAAGGGGCCTCTATTCAAAGTAATTTCAACATGTACCATCCATGTTTCTTCCATGCTACGCGTCTTTTGCCAGTACTACCTCCTATATAGAGGACTTCAAGTTACCCGCCATCCGTTAAGTATAAACACAATGTGCTAGTCTTGCTTTGATTGGATGTTCAGTTTTATACTTACCTTTCGTACTTCACCGTCATCTTCGATTAGATTATAAGCAGATATTTCAGCAATGAATAATACACCACTAACATTATCAAAACAATGAATCCATTTCCGTTGCTCTGATCGTTGACCACCAACGTCGACCATTCTGTAAATCCTGTTACTTCGAAAGGGCAATAAGATTTATGCGCATAAATCGAATTGTTTGCTCCTGTACTCATTCACTGCTTCCAAGTAGTCAATTCGATTTGATGGTGTCGCACAAAGGTTAAACATAGTTCGTAACTTCGTAGTTTCACAATTAAGAGGATATTAAAAGTAAATCAAATATAAGGAGTAGACCTGGATACGCTTTTCCCAGAATATTAAAGGTAAATTAAATATAAGGAGGTAGGAAAGGACAAATTTTTCCCTCTTGTTTACCGTGACTGGGATGGAGGAGTGCGCTTCGTTGCGCGCGTCCGTTGAAACTAGGTCACGTCGCAGCCGTCGCACGCGGCGTGTTAGCCCGCGATCTTTGACGAACGTTGCAGTTGTCAGTGGGGCATACGAATTACGCTCGGTCCACGGCAGTCAGCCAAAGGGAGCACGGACGAATACAAATCGTTTGCTCCACTGACATTTGGTAGTACTGTAATATCATCTCGGGGTGCGCTGCGCGCGAAGTGGGCGGGGTGACCTACTTCCGACGGACGCGCGCAACGGACGTTCTCCGGGATGGAGTGACTGTACAAAGAAAGGCTCTCTTCAATTTCAAAGCAGTCTTGATCGTCGCTTACATAGGACAAGTCATTCTAATTGATCGAGTCTATTAAACATAAAAATGAGAAAGATATAGAAAAAACGATCAAATCTAATAAAAAAGAATGGCAGTAAACGAAAAATTTCGCGTCCTATCGATTGGTTGGGAGGTGGGGGGGAATACGGTAGTTGCAGTGACATTTGCCGCATGCCGCAAGGGAGAATGCTGCAATCGGGGAGAAGTTCCGTTACCCCGAAGAAAGAGAATGGAGCAATACTAGTCATACTGAACAAGGTAAGGCTAGAAAAGAGATAAATGGAGTAAAGAAAGTTTTGTCGGGCAAAATTTTTGGAAACAAAATGAAAAGGATGAAGTAAATAGACAAAAATAGAAGAAATGTTAGAAAAGAAAGAAGTCGCAGTTAATCAGCTTACCTCAGTATGACATGCTTGTAGCTAAATTCAATCTCGTTGATACCAGACGTCGGTACTCGAGCCCTGATCACGTCCATTTCATTAGCTCGATAATCGGTACCACTAATTCGTTCCAAGTCATTCAAGAAACTAAATAATTTCATAAATGAAAGGGAACTCGTCCTTGTTTGTACAGTCGAGACTAGACGGTAATAGTGGACAGAGGTTCCGTGAGGAAGCTGATCGGGTGAAAGGATCGACTTCTCCCGGTACCTAACATACTTTCTATAAGCCTCAAGTTAGAAAATGGGGTCAATCTCACCTGAAAGGCTTCTTACTAGTACTAGTAGAGTCTAGCTAGGAGCATTACACCTAGCTAGACTCTAGTAGCTAGACTACTAGAGTCTAGCTAGGTGTAATGCTGTCCGAATTCCGGCCTTGAAGAGAAGGGATTGTGGATTATCCCCAAAGTGAAGCCCTCCTTAACCTCAACCAACCCAAAGTGGAACCTTCACCCCACTATGCCATGCTACGTCTTTTTTGATAATATTGCTCAAACTCACTATTCTGCTGAGTCAAGAAGCTCGATTTCGTCCTTCCGTAACAGAGTGCTTTTTATAAACTGCGAGTTATAGATGATAGAAATCGCTCGTGATAGCTCCAAACTGAGTTCTACCTCCGACGGTCTCACTTGTTCCTTGTAAACTCGAAAAAAATCCAAGGCTTGCTAAAAAAANTTTACTAGTACTAGTAGAGTCTAGCTAGGAGCATTACACCTAGCTAGACTCTAGTAGTCTAGCTAGGTGTAATGCTGTCCGAATTCCGGCCTTGAAGAGAAGGGATTGTGGATGATTCCCAAAGTGAAGCCCTCCTTAACCCCAACCAACCCAAACTAGAACCTCTAGCCACTACGCCGTGCTACGTCTTTTTTGGTAATACTGCTCAAACTCACTATTCTGCTGAGTCAAGAAGCTCGATTTCGTCCTTCCGTAACAGAGTGCTTTTTATAAACTGCGAGTTATAAATGATAGAAATTGCTCGTGATAGCTCCAAACTGAGTTCTACCTCCGACGGTCTCACTTGTTCCTTGTAAACTCGGAAAAAATCCAAGGCTTGCTAAAAAAAAGGGTGTTGAAAGGATATGAAAGAAGGAAATTGACGAAAAATAATTCGAAGTAAACCTTTAACCTCGACGATATTCCTTTCTGTAACTCATCGCCCTCAGAAAAAGGTTCCACCGTGAACAGTGTGAGGGTCTGACGAATGGGGGAAAGCAAAGGAGATAAGGGCTGACAAGCCACTCAAAGGCGAGTTGCACCACCAAAAGCTCATTGGTTCGGAGTTGTTCGAGTTTCAGCCTGCCCGGGGACGCGACGCAACCGCTCGCAGCCAGTCACGGTTTTTTATCTCGGTGTCCGATGGACGGCATACCTTATTCGTAAACCAAAAATCTTGAAGTGAACGTACCTTCAATTTATCACAGTCATCAGGAGAATATTCGAATTGTTCAGCAGCCCTCAACAATTGGGTGATGGCCTGTACAACATTACTATGAACCAGGTAGCGAAAGTTAACATAATCGGCGTCAGTGAAGCCATTCATATGCAGAATTCTGAAGGAAATGGTGAGACTAGAATGGGGTCCAATATTTGTAAACAATAAGTTTTGATTGGAATTAGCATTTCCGGCAAACTCACTTCATTTGCTTGAATATCGTACTCTTTCCTGATCCAGGACCTCCTAAACGGATGAAAATTTTCAAAACTTGTGTGGTTTTTCATTAAACCTAAATGTAAAAAATCGCTGCAATACTCACCTAGTAATAAAATTTTCAAAGTTTTCTTCTGTAATTGCCTATCCTTTTCAATTTGAGCATCAATTATTTGATTCTGTCGGCTTTGAGTCCTCTGATTAGCATCCGGATTTCTGAATTATATTTTTTTCGATTAAAAGGGATGGTTGTAAGCATCGCAGCTGCAGATTAGGTTGCGTTCACAATAGATGACAATGAAGCGTGCCGACGTAGCGCGCTCACTACTGCTCGACTGACCAATCCGTATGGTAGTCAAGCGCAGAATGAGGAATAACGGTTTTTAGTCGGAACAGGACTAAGGAAAACGCCCGCTTTCAAAAAAGAGCTCTTCCTTCCATGGATGCGCCACGCTTTCAACTTCCCTCTAGAGGCGAGAAATTGTTCAAGTAGTACGCCAATGCGTCTATTCTGTGGAACCAGCGAGCGCATATAGAGGATTTTTCCAAGAGCTTTTGTTGCCGTGGGCATTTCATCTAGCTCCTGCGCTACCTACATTGACGGCTAAATTCGCTCTAAAGAGAAAAGATGATGAAAGAACCAAAAAGGAAGTCATGCGCACCTATATGTAGCGCTTTTACAAATATGTCTATCTGCTTTTTTTCGCGGAGTGGGGGTAAGGTACCCGTACTGGGTATAACTGCTACCCATGAGAGTTTCTCATTGAATTCCAGCAGGGTGGAACTAGCGTAACTTTCTATTTTATCTTAAGCTGACCAAAAATTTGTTCTTCAACATCAATTAGCAACACTTGGCGTTGCCCTAGTGCTTTCAGGAACTTCAACAATGAAGACAGTTTGGGGTAAATGCATGGCGTACCCCAGATGAACCGATCTCCACGTATTCACTCTGTTTTCAACTCGCAAGAACAACTGTGAAGACAAAAAACCTACTGAATTGTATTTGAGCTCTCAGTGTGAAAGAGCATCGACGAGGAACCAACACAGCAGAACACCTAAATCATACAGCGACGTTATCACTGATTATACTTTCATAATGGTTATTGATGAGAAATATCGATTATCTATCCTTAAACATTGAATAGTTTATGCTATACATTCAGTCAATTTTATTGTTCCATGGCCGAAATAAAAAATACCGTCCAAAGTTTTGTCACAGGGCAGTATCAGTGCTGCGGAATGGTACCGTCAGAGGAGGAAGTGACTCGTAGTTAACCCCACAAGGGAGGGGGGAGTCGCAAGTGAAGGGCGAACAGGGAGTGATAGAGAGGGCGAACAGTCTGTTCTACCGCCACCATTTCACAAGAATGACCTGACAAAAAGCTTTTTTGGCGCATGGAGGATTTGATCCCACAGGAGAGGGTTTGTTGAACCTGATGCTCAATTCCATAGGTCTTCGAGCTCTGTCTGTTCTGAGTTGAGCAACTATGTCAGGAATCATTTCGTTTGATTTTCCACGAACAGGAGCACATCCCGCAGGTGACTAAGAATGGTCTCTGTCGAAGATCACTGGTCTCTTTGAAATGGTCTTTAGCTGTCGCAAATTTTCTGGTTCGGAGTTTCGCTTTTGATCTTGGGACAATTGGATACTCAGAAGGGACAAGCCTAACTAGGAAAGAAGCATTATGCCTAGAAAAAGAAGTTAAAAGTCTCCAAATAAGTGGATTACCCAATTTGCGCTGCATTAACTAATAAGCTTCCCTAATAGGCTGCGACCCGCTCCTTTTAATTGCTAGCATATTCTTTTGAATGACTATCACCAACAAGAGGGAGGCGAAAGATAAAGTGCTCTTTGACCACTTCATATTTGAATGAGCCATGCATACACTCACACACACAGACTTTGATGGAAATGTCGAGCTGTTTTTTGACCTCGGTCCTCAATCGCCGATAATCATTACCCAAAAAGGGATATCAGCAAAGCAAAACGGGTAAATGATAGCCTATCCTGAGAGCTCATTAGATGATATAGCGCAAATAGGATAATTCAATCACTGCGAAACTTTTGACTCCTTTTCTAATTATACTACTTTATTCTGAGTGGGACGACTCATTGAGTCGCAGAGACCATTTGTAAAGCTTAGGTGACTTATGAACGGAAAAGAGTAGAACTACTTTGAATAGCCACCAGCAGACCTACCAAAATAAGTAGGCTATCTAAACGTTTCAAGGAAAATAAAAAAAATGCGGATGAATAAAAAATGAACGATTCAGTGAAATCAAAATTAATAAAATACATAAAATCGATGGCTCACTGCTACGTTTTTAAATAAGTCACTAATTTTTTACGGATTGCCCTTCATTATATTAGTATTTTGATTATTACAAGTGTTTATATTGCTAATTAATACAAAGTATTTCAGCAACACTACGGTATTAGTGAAACAGCGAATTAAAGTATAAACATACCTTGAGACTGAAATTTGACGCTGAAACCCTGGCAGGCTTACCAGCGTCAGTCACGGGCATGAAATCAAAACCTGAAACAAACTCGATTTTCATAATTACAGTTACTGTATTTTACAGCAGTAGTACGAGAATACCAAGAGAAAACATCAGTTAATCGGGAAATAAATCTATCTGCTTCAATGATACGGTATTGCGTATTGCTAATTCGCATTTCTCCGAATTTCTCTAGCCCTAAAAAATAAAATCAACCCATGGTTGATAAGCGGACGCGCCATGCTTTCAACTTCAGTTCAAAATCGCCAAATGGTTTGAACCGCCCTAGTCAGTAGTGTAGGTCTAGTAGGCAAGCAACTACATGCCTACAAAACCTACCCACTGATTGACATGACTCCATTGTGGCGGCATTGGCTCCTATTCAGGATAGTGATTTTGTAGTTACTTTTTACCTTGATACAGTTAGATCCATCTACCGGTGGGCGTCCAGAAACAGCCCATTATTGGAAAAACATTCGTACAACTGCCTACGAAGAGTGAAAAAGGTGTTGCCGTGATGAGAAATGATGAATGAAAGGAGTCGAGTTGATTACACGACACGACGTGCAGTTAATCAAACGTAACAGGTGATAATTAGTCTTGGTAATCACTATCATGTGTCATGGGGTTGTTCCAGCTTATAAAACCCAAGTCCGTACTTCAAATCGTTCATATGTTTACTCATTTATTTATTGTGTACTTAAACCACTTCATCGGCAGTAGAACACAAGAAAACAAAATGCTATTACTTAGAAAATCGCACAGAATCAAACAGGGAAGGAGATTTCACGTGGAAAGATTAGTAAATCAAAAAGAAAGAAACGGGGCATCATCCAACCCTCACACTCTCAGATGCTTCTTAAGGGAGGCCGTAGACTGACGAGAGAGAAGCAGAACAATCATAAATATCTATAAAGATTCAACAAGTTAACGCTACTGATCCCACCCTTTTTCTGAGCACACCCAATCATTACCCCTCCCCCGTACCCACCTTTCTACACCCATACACCCGTAACCCGTAGAAAAAGGGCAACCAATCAGATTAAGTTACAAGAGAAGGATAGAATAGGGGCTCTAGGATACTGTATTAGTTCGCGAATTCCGATTCAGTCAATCAAACTCGAAATGCACGCACTCTTCTCAAAAAGCCGGAAACATTACGGCTGAAGAAGGTAGCGATTACCCTGAAAGGGTACGTAGGGCTCATATTTGGCGGACGCGGTATTCAGTTATGCAACGGACCAATACACCCGTAAAAATGTGTCTGGATCAAGAAGTAGCTACGTAAAGGGAGATACTCGGTAACAACGAGCTGTACGATGTTTTCAAAAGATTGTACTTGTGAAAACTCCTAAAAAAGTTCAAAAGTTCTATTCAAGCCTATGAAAGGCCAATCATCTAAAAAGTATAAGACGGTAATTATAAATGTCCTATATCCATGTGAATAAGAGTTATACAGAAGAATTTTACACACTACTAATTTCCATTGTAAAGTCTATAAGTCTACTTTCAAAGATAATTGGAGCTTTCATTGAAATTCACCAGAAATTTTTCTTATGATGATTAGTAGCTCGATGTACATCAGAGCTGGTAGGTATAAGGAAAACTGGATTCTTTCAGGGGAAAAATTATCAGAAGTTTTAAAATATGATAATTGAAGACGCAGTTTATAACAATTTCAAGAGACCTATTTGAAGTAGCGGAAGTGGTGGTGCAGTTTGGTGCATCGCTGACGGAAAAAGACGAAAGCCTTTATTTATTAGAACATGTACCTTACGTACATGAATTAAAAATATAAAATGGAATGAGCCTGATAAAAAAACATGAAACCGGTCTGATAAAAACCATGAGGAATGGTAGAGATCTAATAACGAACATAACGAACAACCAACAGGAAGGACAAACAAAAGTAAATAGTAATTGTAAAGAGGAAATAAGAGAACTAAAAGGACTAAGTGGCTAAGATGTGACCAACCTCCAAAGTGAAGTAGAGCATGCTGTCCGAAAACAACCCGCTAACCATAGAACTTATTGATGTTATTCTTCAATTCTACGATGCTTCTAGGCACGGCAATTTTTTTTGATTACCTTATTGTATTCCAAAGAAGCCCTTGCCGAGAAAAATTTTCTCCGAA